TACCCCGCCCCTCGCACAGTGATTGCTGGACATGGGCACCAGCGACCCCCGTGACCCAAAATGGAATAAACGGGTAAAAGATAATGGATGGATGGATGGATGGTCTTCCAGCTGTTCGCTATATGCACAATTTCCTTTTTCCAGCCACTTATTGCTACTTGTCCCAACTTTTTTGGGATTTGTTGACACTGTGAAATTTTGAATCAACATATTTTTCATTTAAAATGTTACATTTACTCAGATTAAACTTTTGATCTGTCATCTATGTTATATTACGAATAAAATATTGACATTTGCCATCTCCACATCATTGCATTCAGTTTTTATTCACAATTTGTTTAGTGTCCCAACTTTTTTGGAATCCGGTTTGTAAAAGATCCTCTCAAGTTTAAAATGGGTCTTAACAAGGAAGATTGTAAACTTTATGAATAATTGTTTAATTTAATTATGTGTGGGTAAAGTGCTTTTGTTTCTTGTTTTTTTTATTTTAAATGTAAATATCTGTTTTGTCTGTTTAGGGTTATAACAAAGCTGTAGACTGGTGGGCTCTTGGCGTTCTCATTTATGAAATGGCAGCTGGTTACCCTCCGTTCTTTGCAGATCAGCCAATTCAAATCTATGAAAAGATTGTGTCTGGAAAGGTAAGTAGGGTGTTGTTTCAAATAGCCTTTATTTGTGTAATTTTGAATGCTTTGTTTTTTAAAATATACAGTAGTCCCTCATTTATCGGGGGTGTTTGGGACCATGTCCACATGAGATAAGTGAAAAACCACGAAATAAGGACACAGTAGTCCAAGTTCAGTTCAAGTTCAGTAAACTTTGTCATGACATGTGCCAGGCTGCAATCACGCTCCTGTTACTCCCAATCTCCCTCCTTAAATAAACAATTTAAATTTAAATATTGTAACATTTTAATTAAATAATCCATACAGCATGGATTGTTTATTTAAAATGTTACAGTATTTAAATTTAAAGTGTAGAGAAGAGAAGTGCAGCAGGACAACAGAGGGATGACACACAGCTTCAGCTCTGCAGCACGGAGCAGAAATGTACTTCTGATCAATTACACTTCAGCAACTGAACATAGAAGTTCTAAAATAATTAAAAATAACTTCACACTTTTGTGATTATGACGATTTGACGATGCGACATACTTTGAATTTTAAGTTGGAAGATAAGTCGATTGGTGCATCTGGACAGCAAAGGGTTAACCCTTCACAAAGTCGATGCAGCGGGAGAAATGTGTGACCAAATGACCAAAAGTGGGCGTTTCGGCGTTTTGTAAAGGACAAACACTGATTGGCTAGCTGTATTTGCTGCTCTTTAGGTAAGTTACGTCAGCTATTTTTTAAAACTGAAGGTTCTAAGAACCAGCGTTATATCTGCTGTCAAACACAAGAAGATTCTCGTTTGTTGTTGGTTGTACGCTGCACCTGACACAGGTTGGCTTGAGTGTGGTCTGGGTACAATGATAGGAATATGAATTGATTGATTGTAACTATTTTCACATTATTAACAACCAAAACAGATTTTGTTTTTAATGTAATGTCTAGGTATTAAAAAACTAACATTTAGCCCTCCCCACTACCCATTTATGTTGCTCTTATTTTGAAATGTAACCGGAAGTTCTGTGTTAAGAGGCGGAAAAAGAAATTATGGAGACGCCGCTAATATCAGATGCCACTTTTGTCCAATCGGTTAACACCATAGACATTATATGTCTGTGGTTAACACAATCTGCCAACAAAGCTTTGTTTTTATTTTTTTTCGTCCAGTCAGATGTGGCCCTCCAGATACGCCTTGTTTTTTTTATCGTCCAATCAGATGTGGCCCTCCAGATACGCCTTGTTTTTTTATCGTCCAGTCAGATGTGGTCCTCCAGATACGCCTTGTTTTTTTATCGTCCAATCAGATGTGGCCCTCCAGATATACCTTCCATATTTGTCTGCAGAGATACCTATTTGGGCATAGAAAGAAATCAGCTGATCAGATGCAGGAGGGTGCTTTCCCTTGCATTTGTGGGCTGCACACATGGTACAAAATCATTTAAAATAATTTATTTTAAATAAAAAAATCCATGGCTCATCCATCAATCAGTCAGTTGTCATGTCCAATCTAACTTTGAAAATCCGCGATATATCGAATCTGCGAAAAATGAACCGCGAAGTAGCGAGGGACTACTGTATATAAATGGAAGGACAAACCCTCAGTTTTTGTAACTAATAACAGTTATCTATATATCCTAGGTACGATTCGCTTCCCACTTCAGCTCTGATTTGAAGGACCTGTTGAGAAACCTGCTGCAGGTAGATTTGACCAAACGTTACGGCAACCTGAAGAACGGAGTCAACGACATCAAGGGTCACAAATGGTTTGCCACAACGGACTGGATTGCAATCTATGAAAGAAAGGCAAGACACATTTTACTGCAATACTCAACATTATACTTTACAAATCAAGGTATTTCTTATTGATTTATGCATGTTATTTTGGATTTAAAACAAGTTTTCTACTAGAGAAAACAAAAAAAGGTTTTTGTATTTGATTTTGTATGGCAAAGGTTACTTTTTAAGTATATTCACTACATTTAAAAATTGCTCAATTTCACTGTTGCCTGTGATGCTTATTTTTAATCAAGAGTCTATACAGCAGTGATTTAAATATTATATATTGTCGTTTTTGATTTTTTTTTTATGAAAGTAGTTTTTTATTTCAGGCTTGTTGGTTATTCAAGTTGATAGTCACTATTTTTATTATTATTTTTTTTAGATGTGTTTTTATATGAACTAGTATTCAAAAATTTCAGCACAATTTTTTCTACTGTCTTCTACCTTTCTTTTACTGCTTTTTATTTATTTTTTTTAACTAAAGATTTTTTCGTTTAAACTTTATTTGATAAAACCAGTGGAAAAGCTAGACTTATATACAAGGAGTGGCACAAGTGTGGCCAGCAGCTTTTTAATGGGAGTACATACAAATACACAAGACTATTCTGTTTCTTGAAACTGCAACCTAAGGAACATACCTTCTTGATGGTTTTCAAAACCCTGAGCAAATTGTTGCTTTATATTCGATTAGTGGTTCAGAAAAGTTGTTTTTGTCATTGCGCTGATGGATTCTTTCCATTATTATTACAATTATTATTAGTATCTGACTACTACAGGTAAAAAAAAAAGATGTTCCAATGCAGCACATCTCTCAATGCCTCATGCAGTTGCTTGTCAGTTACCTGGAGTGGCCAATCAGGTTCCAGACAGGCTACCCCTCTGGCTCCACCCCCAGATAAAATCAAAGCATTAGGGAAATATTTTGTATGAAACTAAAGTTATTATATGAACAGGACATAATTCATGTTATTGTAAGAAAAAGTTTGTTTAAAGGCTATTTTCTCCTTTTTTAATGTTGTGGTTCCCCTGTTCATGTGTATCTGTCACCTACAGATGATCACAATGAAAGGCAGAAAAATACTGTCTTCATGGATGAGATGAATGAAAATAAGTTCGAAATCGGTTTGACTCGCAAAATCTACAAAACGCTTCCAGTCAGTCATAAGGGCTCATACTCAGATGTTAGTTTGTGCACAAACACGCAACATATCTCTGTCATATCTCTATTTGGCAAATATTGAGTTGATGGAGGTGAGTTGACAAATCCTAAAAAGTGGCACACTAAATGTTTAGATTAATGCAAACGTTTTCTTCTGAAATGTGAACTTAATCTTTCAGTGTGGTAGTTTTAAACACTTGTTAGCCAGCTTTAAATGATCATTATGTGCACAGAAGAGAAGTTCAAAAAAGCTCACTTCATTAGCTATGTTTACATGGACATAAATAACCGGATCAAACGGCCGTTTGGAATAAAAATGCGTCGCATAAACGCCCCGTTCGGGCTATTTTTGGTTTATTCAGCTCGATCCGAAAGAATTTGTGATCAGAACGAAACAGGTGGTTTACGTCGATTCACAACCCGAACGGTGTCCATGTAAACGCTTAATCTGTTCATTTTTTTCGATCGTGAAAAACTGACCTAACTGCGCATGATATGCAACCTATGTCATGCCTATATTATGCCTGGCTAATGCTAATAATATTAGCATGTCAGGGAAGCAAAACTGGTCTGTGAGCGACTCAGTATTTCTGCTTTTTCTTCTGTTTTATTTTTTTAAGGAGAGTTTACCACTCTGCGCATGTCAGTACTTCTGTTCCAAACAAAGCCCGCTGCATGTAAACGCTTATCATGAACAGATTGTGCCCATGTAAACAATACATTTGGATTATTTAATCTGAAAACATTTAAATCCGGTCAAAAAATGTTGCCCATGTAAACATAGCTGTTGAGAACTTATTTAGTGTGAGGAAGGTCTGTATATTTCTTCAGTTGGTTCAAGAAGGAAAATGCTGGTTAAATTAAGAAGCTTTCTGTTTTTGAAGGCCTTGGTGGATACACCAAAATGTTATTGCTTAAAGCATGAGGTAAAACTTTGAATTCACTAAGGATGCATGCTATTATCGGCATGATATTGGTATCGGCCGATAATTGTGATAAAGGTAAATATTGGACATCGACCATTCCATCAAAATAACTCACCAAAAGAAACAGCCATGTTTATAATGTGCTATTTTTGTACGACTGATATAGTGTTGTCATTGTGTTAGAGAGAGTAAATATCATGAATAAATTTGACATTAAACATAATCCAAGTTGAAGTGTTACATGATTTTCAGCCCCCTTGCAGGCCAAATTGACAAAGACCATGTAGAATGATGTAGTATTTTAATTTCACATTCCGCTGTGTAAAACTACAACCTCTCAATGAACGTAAACAATTGGTAGAAAAAAAAGTTGTGAACCCTCACTTCTGAAATAGAATTGTGATAAAAGCAAGCACTACTTTAAATCAAGTTTTTGACACATAGAAACAAATCTGGACATTTGTTACCTTTTCCTTTGCTGACCTTGATGAACTACATTCTAGAAATTGTCTTGTGGCAAAATCTAAAAGCATGAAGCATTCATACTAAACTGTTTGTACAAAAGGCCTCAAAGGGGCAGTGCACACATTTTCCCCTTGTGCAGCACCAATAAATTCATATACAATAAAGACACTGCCGTAAACTGCAGTAAATATGATTATTGAACAGCAGCAGCTGTGTGAAGAACACAAATGTGACTTCTGTTGCATTTCAACAGTTTGATCTTGTGTGGAAAAAAAAAAGATGAGTGTTTACTATGCCGATGCATGCTCAATAATCCAGGTAGAAAAATACAAAAAAGGTAAATCTGGTTCTCTGGACATTCAAAAAAATCTTGACCATGTGAGCAGCTGGTTTTGGTTGTCAGCAGCTAACAGGTTGATCCACTCTGAGAAGGTGCTATTTAAGACACTGAGCTGAATACAGCACCTCAGACTGAGGAAGTCTCTCGGATGAGAGACGAAACGTTTCTACATTGTTTTGCTTTGTTTTGTTTTTTGTTTTTTTTGAATGTCCAGAGGACCAGATTGAACTTTTTTGGATGAGTGTTTAATATTTGATTGTAAATCTACTGCCCTTTGTGTTCCCATATATTGGGTTCAGGTGCTAGTCATTAAATTAGAATATCATGAAAAAGTTGATTTTATTTCAATAATTCCATTCAAAAAGTGAAACTTGTCATTATTGCCATTATTGCCATTATTCATTCATTACACACAGACTGATATTTGAAATGTTTATTTATTTTAATGTTGATTATTATAACTAACAACGAATGAAAACCCCAAATTCAGTAGCTCAGAAAATTAGAATATTGTGAAAAGGATCATTACTGAAGACACCTGGTGCCACACTCTAATCAGCTAATTAACTCAAAACACCTGCAAAGGCCTTTAAATGGTCTCAGTCTAGTTCTGTAGGCTACACAATCATGGAGAAGACTGCTGACTTGACAGTTTCCAAAAGACGACCATTGACACCTTGCACAAGGAGGGCAAGACACAAAAGGTCATTGCTAAAGAGGCTGGCTGTTCACAGAGCTCTGTGTCCAAGAACATCAACAGAGAGGTGAAGGAAACAATGCGATAGAAAAAAGTGTACAAGCAATAGAGATAGCCACACCCTGGAGAGGATGGTGAAACAAAACCCATTCCAAAATGTGGTGGAGATTCACAGAGTGGACCACAGCTGAAGTTGGTGCTTCAAGAACCACCACGCACAGACGTATGCAAGACAAGGGGTTCAGCTGTCACATTCCTTGTGTCAAGCCACTCTTGAATAAGAGACAGCGTTAGAAGCATCTCGCCTGGGACTGCTGCTGAGTGGTCCAAAGTTATGTTCTCTGATGAAAGTTAATTTTGCATTTCCTTTGGAAATCAAGGTCCCAGAGTCTGGAGGAAGAGAGGAGAGGCACAGAATCCACGTTGCTTAAGGTCCAGTGTCAAGTTTCCACAGTCAGTGATGGTTTGGGGTGTCATGTCATCTGCTGGTGTTGGTCCACTGTGTTTTCTGAGGACCAAGGTCAACGCAGCTTCTACCAGGAAGTTTTAGACACTTCATGCTTCCTGCTGCTGACCAACTTTATGGAGATGCAGTTTTCATTCTCCAACAGGACTTGGCACCTGCACACGGTGCCAAAGCTACCAGTACCTGGTTTAAGGACCATGGTATCCCTGTTCTTAATTAGTCAGCAAATTTGCCTGATCTTAACATAGAAAATCTATGGGGTATTGTGAAGAGGAAGATGTGATACACCAGACCCAACAATTCAGAAGAGCTGAAGGCCACTATCAGAGCAACCTGGGCTCTCATAACACCTGAGCAGTGACACAGACTGATCGACTCCATGCCACGCTGCATTGCTGCAGTAATCCAGACAAAAGGAGCAACAACTAAGTATTGAGTGATGTACATGCTCATACTTTTAATGCTCATACTTTTCAGTTGGCCAACATTTCTAAAAATCCTTTTTTATTGGTCTTAAATAATATTCTAATTTTCTGAGATACTGAATTTGGGGTTTTCATTAGTTGTTAGTTATAATCATCAACATTAAAAGAAATAAACATTTGAAATATATCAGTCTGTGTGTAATGAATGAATATAATAAACGAGTTTCATTTTTTTGAATGGAATTACTGAAATAAATAAACTTTTTCATGGTATTCTAATTTTATAATCAGCACCCGTATTTCATTGAATGGTTCTCACTGGTTTCCAGTAGTTTTTTTCTGTCTAACAAGCTGTATAATCCTGTAGAATCATTCCACCTCTTGCTCTTGCAGGTTGAGGCTCCATTCATACCAAAGTGCAGAGGTCCCGGGGACACCAGCAACTTCGATGACTATGAAGAGGAGGAAATCCGTGTTTCTTTAACGGAAAAATGTGCAAAGGAGTTTGCAGAGTTTTGAGACACAAGAACGTGGATGTATCGGGGAAATTTAAGGGGATCTTTGCACTCTTCTAAAAGACTTGGGATGGAGCAGAGACCATCTTTTTTGTTTTTCTTCTTTCAGATCTACAAAGTCCCTTCATTCCACAGGGCTGAATGAAGTTGTCATGACCCTTGAGTGTCTAACCCCTCACTGACACCAACACCTACATATCAAAGCAGACACATCACTTTTCTTTTCTTCTTTTTTAATTTAAAGGGAGTTAGTCTTGGATATTTTTTATCCCAACTAAAATGTGTTTAGTGTTTTTGTTGTTTATGTTAAAAAATTTATAAAAAAATACTGACCGTGGCCAATAAGTCTACACATTAAAACTGACTTCTTCTTGGCAATTTGACACCCAGTTGAGCAGGTTGTGGGTTTTTGCCATCAGCTGTGAGTATTTAAAGTCCACATCCAGTTTAGTTGAAGCCAGCATACACAAGTAGAATTGGTCTCATGTGCATATCTGTCAATATTCAAAGATTTTATTGCCGTGATGGTTTAAAGCATGACCAAATAGAAAAATCTGGGTGACCCAAGAAAAGCGGTTCTGTCCTTTCTTAGCTTAATGCCTTAGGAGAGTCTTCAGACCCCCACAAAGCATTCAATGACTGTTTTATTATTTTTAATTTTAATTTTTTATTCTGTCCCAGGCAGAGTAAGCCATTGTAGAACTTCGCTGGCCTTGCATTAGTAAAATGCATAACCACATCTTTTTGTTTTTTGTCTGATCTATTTGGGTCTATTAGTTACATGTAAAAATTTTAATTTGCTGTTCTATATTTTTTGTGTTTAACGTTAGTCTTATTGTCCCTAGATTTCAGATTTTGACCTTTCGTTACAAGTCTGTGAAACAAGATGACTTCAGTAAGTGGAATAAGAGTCAACTGAAATCATTTGTTTTTTTATTGAGTGTTTTGTCAAGTTGAGGTCATTGTGAATAGTGCTGAGGCTTTATACCTTAACAGGTAAACCTAAAGAAGATAAATTATTTTTCATTTTATTTAATCAATAAAAAATGGTTTCAAAATTTTAACACAAAAAGGCAGAAATGCTTATTTGCCACGTTCTCCCTGTTACACACAGATACATTTCTGTTTCATTCTTGTCAAAGAATGTAGATTTGCTACAGCTAGTAATGTGTCTTCGAAGGCTTGATTTTTGACGTACAGTTTTCCCAACAATACACTGGCTAATCTAACGACTGCTCCTTTGTATCACGTGTAACTCTGTTATTGTTAAGCTCATTACATTATACATATATGCATTGTTACATATTTGTTTTTATTTATACACACTAGAGATGCTAATAAATTTTATTTTTAAAAGTGCTGAAGTTTGATATTCTCATCATTGAGCTGCTTGTTTCCTCCTGTGAAATAGTCATAACCATTTCACATTTAACTTCCTTTCTAGAAAGTGTGGATTTTAATGTGAGGACTAGAGGTCCATTACAAATGACCAGATGTCTCGAGAGGTTTTGTTAACCCGCGTTGAAAAGTATACAAGTTTTTTTGCTCTGTGACACAGCAACGCTTTCCTACCCTTTTAGAAGTACTTTGCCAAATCGTCTGTTAAAATGTTTTAAGGAATATATAAATACTGAGGGAATTTTTTTTGACTAGTTCATCAGGATAAAATTATTCAAACTGTCTAAAATGTGTTTACTACTACCGGTACATGAAGGAAACCATTGAAAAGCCACAAAACAGCAATATGAGTGTCACAGAAACGACAAAATTAAGTATTATTTGAAAAATATTCAGAAACTTTCTTCCTTTCTGTGCCAACTGCAGCAACCAATAAAGAATTTAGAACAAGACGTCTACATCAGGGGTGCCAACACTTTTTCAGCATGCAAGCTACTTTTAAAATGACAAAGTCAAAGTGATCTACCTCGTTTACATGAGAACAACCTCTGGAAACGCTAAGTGTTTTTTCAATGTTTATTGACAAAAAATGAGCAGGTTTACAACGCTGTAGTTTCATGTCAGTCGGGTTGCCAGATGA